GACTTCAAAACTTATTTCTGTTCTTCCCATTAAGTCGCCTGAGGTGACCTCTGAAAATGGTTCACTATTCACTTCCCCAGAAAGCCCAACAAAATCATGCAAATCAAGAGATTCAAAGCTTTGTGTTCACTTTATGAATGCATCAAAAGTTTGCATATCTGAAAAGCCACCATGTATCTGAAGGATGTCACTTTATAGAAGCATTGTGTGCCACTCTGTCGCTACAATGGTGGAGTTGGTAGGTGGGATCAGGCCAAACACTGGGGCTGGACACAGTGTCAGTGACCTGAACAGAGTGCTGCTGAATTTTTACTGCACATGCTTAAATGCAGAGTAACGCTGAACTTAAGGGTTTAGATATAGATTCTCTGGTCACTGAGCATACCCAGGTGAAAAAAACCCCCAAGATGTGGTGAGAACTTACAGAGTGCATGTTTGGATTAATCTGTACATGGGCTCTCCCTGCCACAGAGATGATCCTTACTGAAAAAGAGCAGATTGTTTCTAAACCGGAGGAGGATGTTGAAGAAAAAAGAAAAAGATATCCCAGAAGAAATGAAATTGAAGAAAATGAAGAGACAAGAACTTATGGCTTGGGGGTAAATTCTGCATAAAATAAATATAAGTAAAAAAACCCACAAAAAACAAAAAACAACCAAAAAACAACCCCCCCAAACTTATTTCAGAACTATTGTACCTTTTAATTTTTGAACTATGTGACTATATTACCAACCAAAATAAAATTTAAAATTAAAAAACTGAAAAATTTAATTAAAAAAAAAGAAGTAAACTGCTATAAACAAAGCAGAACATTCTGCCTGCCTGTGGCACCAGGGGCAAGCTCCAAGAGGATCCACCCTCTGAACTGAAGGCTGGTGCTAATACCAACTGCCACAAAGTACCACCTCCCACTCTGGGCTCTCAGTATGTCTCCCTACTGTTTAAGGCAGCAGCCGGGGACATAGCTCATCACCACACTTCTGGCCATTGGTCACAGGTCCTACCGTGAAGACTGGCAGAGGGAGGCTTCCAAAAGCAGGATCTGGCTGCAGAGACAGTGGCCAGCAAAGAGCTCAGGCACTTGAAGGATGGTTGCTTAGTGGCCCAACCCTTGGCTTCCTGTCTCCCTCCTGTGTAAACTGAGCCATGATCTTTGAGGGAAAGAAGCCTGGACCTTTGGTGTCTCCTGAAGCAAACTGGTAGCTCATATCACAAAGATTAATTTCCCAATATATAAAGTGTTCCTACGAACCAATAAGAAAGACACATGACAATGAAGTGTTTCAACAGTTAAAAAAAAAGGAAGTATAAGTGGCTCTTAAATATACTAAATGATGCTTCCTAATAAGCCTCTTGGGAGGACTGCTGAGTCAGCATTGCTGGTTGTAAGTCCATCTTCCATCTACTGCTCCATTTTCCCAGCCACCTTGAGGACCAGTTCCATTTGAATGATCAATTCTTACCATAAAAGTGATCATGAAGAAACTCAACAAGAGAGCAGAGTGTTCATATTCAAACTTGCCCTCAATATCTAGCAAAAAAGTTTTTTTTAAAAAAAGGAATAAATTCAGCATAGTGCTGAAGTCAGGAGGGAATGTGGCAGACATCAGGAGTTGGCTATGTCCACATCTGCTCTAAGACCTCTTCTCCTACATATGCTTTACTGCTCACTTCCCCAGACTCCCTTGCAATGAGGGTGCTCACGTGATTTGTTGGCTGCCTGTGAGGCACAGCCTAGCCTTTGCGAGAGCTTTTCTTTTTCTGGTAAGAATGGTAGATGTTGCTGGTACTGGTTTCCCCCTGTCCTCTTTCCTTGAACTTCGGATATGAAAGCTACCTTGTGACCATGAGGTGAAGGCCAGGAAAGTCACAGAGATATAGGGTGCCACCTACCTCCAGATGACTTATTTGGAAGAGAGGAAACAACAACAACAACAACAATTTCAGCCACCATTGGAAGTATCATTTACCTGCAGCTGAAAGCATTTGTCATAGATACCAGGGACCATGAGCAGACTACCTATGTTAGGCAGTTTACAGAAGGTGAAAAGCCGGTGGGACCACACTGATGGTACTCCTGGGAAGGGAGCCCCAGGCTCTTCTGGACAAAGCTCTAATGAGGTGTCGTGCTTGGAGCTGGCAAGAACAAGCAGCAGGAAGGAGTGGAAGAAAAGAGCACATGGCTAGTAACTGGTGGCCTGTTTGTGCCTCCTTCCATCTGCATCATATTGGCCTAGCATTCTCGCCTTCAGGTGGATACAGAAAACTGCTATGTAGAGCTCCAACTGACGTTATGGGCTAAGGCTCCCAGAGTGGCAGCTGGATCACAGAGCGAAGCTCTACAACCTGGCCAGGGGAGACGTTGGTCGGGCACATGCTGACCTATCTCCCACCCAAGAAGACGTCCTGTCAGGGTACCCTGGAAGTGACGTGTGCTAGGGAAATAGCTCTACTCTTACTGGTAATTCAGAACCACCCTTCCTGTTGAGGACATGGGACCAAGGTACACAAAGAGAAACAGACCTCAGAGAGCTAATGTGCTAGTGACCTAGGGTTGAGTTGGGATGTGGGGAAGGTAGAAATTCAGAGAGGGATGCCTTTGCCTTGGGAACATTTATTGATGAGAAAGAGGCTGAGCAAGCTTCTGTCAGACTTGAGGGCCTAGGGGGACCAAAGCAGGGGCCAAAATGAAAAGTGGGGATTCCTGGATTCCCTCCTTGTGCTGACACCCCAAAGGGATGTACCCTAGAATAAGGGTAAACTGGAAGTAAACCAGCCCCTGCACAAATGAGTGTCTGGCTTTGAGTCATGAGACAGCCCAGAAAACCTCAATCCCTGAACTGGGTTGAGGGCTCTGCAGTGCTGGTGCCTCCAGAACTGGCAACAGCAAACAAAAGTACTCTGTGAAAGAAGGTAACATCACCCGAGGCCTCAAACCATTTCTACAAATAATTTTCCAGACAACATGTCCAGCAGATAGTTAAAAATAATCAGACATGTAAGGAAATAAGATAATATAAATGAGAACTGGCAGAGACATTTATAGGCAAGAGAAACAGATCCACAGGGGCTCCCAATAGCAGAACTATAAGACTTACAACTTTAAAATAACTAAGCTTACTACGCTCAAGCAGATAAAAGACTAAATTGAAAATATGGGGGGAGAATTGAAACTATAAAAAATGATACAGCAGATTTTAAAAAGAGAGGACATTATATCTCTCTGATGATGGGGAAAATGGAAGGGAAGATATCACTGAAGAAGAGAACTAAGGAAAATCCACAGAATGAATGAAGGAAACCAACTTTGAGCTTTGTGAAACTTCAAAACAATGAGGGAGCCAAAAGAACTTACACAGCAATGGAAATCAGATTTGCAGCAGAGATTTTACAACAAAGTCTGCAGCGCCATACCTTCAAAGATGTTAAGGGGAATTGGACTTTGAAGTTACGATTCTAGTAACCAACCAGATTAAGATCTACTGCAACAAAATAAAAATCAAATAATTTACACACAGGCCAATCACACATCAAGGCCTGCAGAGCCTGTGAGGTCTGACCCTCCAACCTTTCTGACTGCAGCCCCTATCACCCTCTCACTGCTATTTTGCTTGGCTATTCCTTCCACACTGCAAGCCCTTCCACCTCAGGGCCTTTGGATTCGCTGTTCCCTCTGCCTGGATGTTCTTCCCCTAAATATCTGTGGGGCTTTGCCCCTCACCTTTTCTGGTCTCTGCTCAGTTAAGACTTCCGTGATTACTCAATATAAAATAGCATCCTGCCAGTAACCCTCTGGCCACTTTACGTTTGTTCACAGCACCCGCCCCCACCCAACACAATACATGTACTTGCTCCGCTGTTTAGAATCTGCCTCTCTGCACAAGAATGTAGACCTATGAAGGTGGGGCCTGTTGGCTTTGTTCCCTGCTCATTGTCCCGTGCCTGGCCAGAGCAGGTGCTCCATCAGTATTTGCTTAGTGACTGCATGAAGCGGGGGAGCTAACTTATATCCACAACCCCATCCCTCACCAACCTGCTTCTTTCAAGGCACTAGCAGGCATAGCGCAAGCCAAAAAATTTGGAGGTGACTATATGCATGTTCATTATTGTCCGTCTCTTAATCTATTCCATATCCACCCATCCACCCACCAAGTCTTGTTGGGTCTGCCTCTAAAATACAACTTGCATCTGTGTCCTTTCCCCTCTCAATGGCCATCACACCGATCCAAGTCACCTTCGTCTATTGCCAGGACTGCTGCGAAAACAAGCCCTGACTGCTTTCCTACGTCAGTTCACATCACCCCTGCTAACTGATCTCATGTCACAAACTCCTGCAAAAGCTCCAGCTCACAAGATCTCAATGATCTCCTTTCTGCTCATCTGTCTCACCTCCTCTCATACCACCCTCTCCTTTGCCTACTCTGCGGCAGCCACAGTGGCCTTCATTTCCCACACCCGGTTTGCATTCACTATCACCTCTACCAGGAGACTCCCAGGTCTTGACAGAGCTGGCGCATTCTTATCCCCGGGTTTCATCCTAAAAGACCCCTTCTGATATCTTCCCTGGCCACTTGTTCCCAGGCACCCTCGTCTGATTGCTCTGCTTATTTCTGGGCATAGTATAATCCATAGTCTGAAACTATCTTGTTAACTGATTGCTTCCTTGCTTCTGTGCCTTCCTACCAGACTGGGAGCTCCATGAAGGCAGGGAAGGATCTTTCACCTTCTCTACGGAACAAACCCACAGCCCCCAGCAGGCAACTCTCCTCAGCACAGGTGCTTGCGTGGCTGAGCAATCCCTGGGCCCCCGACGCCGAGGGCCCGGCTGCTGCCCAGCACTGCAGGGTTGGCATCTCATCCTCCCACTGACGCTGGGGCCCAAGGCGGTGTGGTCAAGAAGTCTAATGGGGAAGAATTTCAAAGCACTTCGGCTTATTTTTCATCTCCACTTTCACTTTTCAAGACAGAATTCTTGTGGCAAGAATGAAAGCAGCACCTACCACTACCGTTGACTCCCACTGGCTTCCAGTGGAGTAGTGAACCGGACCCAGTAAGTCCTTGCATATTTCTCGGAGTCGGTATTCAAACCCTAATTACGGAAAAAAAACAAAACAAAACAAAACAACAAAACAAAACAGAAATAGGAACACATTACAAAAAGAAATAAAAAATCAAGAATATGCTAAGTTGTTGCGTATATCAAACCAGATTGAACAAATGTTTATTTTATTGCCTGCTTTGTGCAAAATGCCTCTTGCCCGTCTCTCAGTTTGGGGCACTGTGATCCATAATGACAGACTCTCACTCACGAACCCACTCCCATGACAGCATATACAGCAGCCCCTCTGTGTGCTGGGCCCATGGGAAAAATGAGATGTGGCCAGCTCTGGGACAAACTCCCCAAGGTGATGGGAAAATGTAGGAATCGTGGAAGGAAGGGGAGTGGGCTAGTCAGATTTGTTTCAGAAAAGACGTGTTGGTAGTGAGAGGAGATCAGCAGGGTCAGGAGGCAGCCTTCAGGAGGTAAGAGATGGCAAGGGTATGAATTTAGGCTGAGGAGGTGGTGATGGAGTGAAGACAGGAGAAGCAGTCACAGGCCTGTCAACTCATGGGTTATGGCACAGCCACGTGGAGTGCCAGAAGTGCTGGTGGCAGAATCTGGGGGCCTGTCAGCACTGGCGGCAGCTGAAGCCACAGGGAATGATGAAATCACCCAAAGATAAGGATAGAGAATAAGAGGGTGATGCTGGAATCTGAGGAATTTTAGAAGTGAGAGGGGTCTCCCTTTACAATTTGAGTCCTTTTATGGTCGAGGAAGCAAGAGATAGAGTGGAGGTGACTTGTGTATGGACGCAGGAACAGACGTGTGGAAGATGAAAAAGAGAAGCAAGTGGTAGAAGTGATCCCACAAACTGGTGCAGGCCCCTGAGGAGGCAGCGACTTTGTGCAGGGCATCAGGCTGAGTCCTGATCAATACCCAGGATGAAGCAAATTAGAGGAGCCAGAGGAGAAGTCTCCCCAGAGGAATGGGGTATGAGGCCCAGATGTGACAGGAGCACCCCAGCAAAGGTATGGGCTTGGGAAGATTGAGTATTTAGAAGAGTCAGTGACCACACAGGCTGGGCAACCACGCAGAATGGGCAGGAAGAGGAAAATTAAACTCATGTTTGGAGTCTGCTGGGGAGGGGTGAGGGACTTCGAGTTGGTCAGCCATGTCTGTTGTCATCAGAGGTGTATACATACACACAGTTACGTCATCAGAGGCAATGTGATATGTTTGAGTTCTGGGAGTGACATTTGTAGGGGTTCAGCACGGTTTTCTCTCTTTTTTGTACTCTAAATTATAAACAAACTAGGCAGGGTGTTGTCAAAAGCAAAGCAGGAAGGCCATGAGAGGCTGTGGGGAAGGCTGTTCTGTGATGAGGCCTGGAGCTGTGTGGTAACACAGGGAGTTTTGGGAGGGCTGGTTCTCAAGCCACAACCCTGGAGGCTAAGCTCAGGGGGGAGGAAGGCTGGTAAGAAACAACCCCACACTTTAGCAAAGAGATGAAAGGCTATTTATTGGAGGTCGCCCTGAGAACAGGATGGCCACATCTTCCAACATACCTAGCTTTCTGCTGGCCGAAAGGGGATGAGAAAGTGGTGGGGGAGATACTGGGGAGGGGACAGAAGTGCTCACAGGGAAAGCTGGGCTGGAAGGCCATGGGGGAGGTGCTGGACAGGCTGGCCCTTCCAGGGCAGGAGGGGCTTAGAGGAAGAGAAATGCAGGCTCACTGGATGCTGCCGGAAGATGCCCTTCCCTGGGGTGACTGGCTGACCACTGCAGATCCAGGGTGTGAGGGAGGGCAGGAGGGTGAGCATCTCATCTGCTCCTCTGGAGCAAGTCTATCCGAGCATCCTGTGCCCCCACCTCCTCCCGCTGCCAATCCTCCTGGCCCTCAGAGCCTACCTGATTCAGGGCCTCAGAGCCTCTAATGGGCTGGATGCCTGCTGAGCTGCCTCGATTACAGCTCAGGCTAAGAGATGGGGGCTGAGGGCCGTCTGGTTAATGGGGGAGCTGGAGGCCAGGGCCTCTGGGGGTGAACATATGAGACTGGGAGGAAGAAGAGCGCAGAGAGCCCTAGACCACTGCACTCTGCCTTGATTCATGGGCTTTCAGGAGGGTCATGTTGGGAAAGAAACTGAGTCAGGCCCAAGAAGATGGAAGGGCCACCAGAAACCTCACCTTCGTTCACAAGGTACCGAGCGTAGAGGAGGAGCCAATGGCGGTACTCATGGCTGGACTGCAGGGTGAGTGCCGCCGCAACCTGATTCTCCAGGTAGGCCAGGGTGGTCTCCTGCTGCACTACATGAGGCACGGAGAAGAGCCGGGCTGCCTGTCTTCCTGAACTGCAGAGACCGGCAAAGCAAGCATCATGAGGCAGTGGGTACTACATGGGTCAGGAGGCTGCTACCGTGAGCCCCTGGGCACCAGTGAGGAGCCAGTAAAGGGGCAGGTGTCAGACTCCATGCTGGCTAACCTGTCCCCATGTCCCAGCCACAGGCCTCCTGGCAACTCTAGCACCCCTGTCCCACCCTGTACCTCCTATCTAGGCCCGAGGTGACAGGTCAGCAGCTCATTCCTCCCCACCCCAAATACTGCCCATGATCGTGTCCATGACTCGTAGCACCTCAGACCACTATCTGTGCCCTGAAGTGACAGGGCTTGTGACCTAGCACCCTGAGATATTACCCAATGTGGGCCCACAACCGTTGGCACCCTTGAGCCTGCTTGTGCTAAGCAGCAGCTAGGCATAGGGGGTGGGCAGTCAGAGAGCAGGCCGGTGGGACTGTGCTTGCATGACCCGGCCACCTCCCCCAGCAGTTAGGTCACCTACGTGGAGGCACGGCCCTGGACTATGGCTAAAGGTCCGGAGCACAGCATGGCGTCCTGGGGAGGCAGGCTGCTCCTGAAGTCCGCACACTGGGCCAGGGAGTCCTGCTTGTCAGAAACCAGGTTCCTGGGGAGGCAACAGCAGGAGCAGAGGTCAGGAAAACCAGGAGGTCCACCAGAAAGGCTGGTGGTGAGGCCACCAAGGAGCAGGCACCACATGACCTTCAGCCAGAGTGCCAGCTGAGGCTGTCACTGCATTCTCTCCACAGGGCCCTCAGGGACAGGTTTCATAACAAGGCAAAATCAATGATGGTGAAGGTCATCAACAGGGCTCTCGCTGGGACCACTTGAGCTCCATGGTCTCAGAAGTTGAGCACAGGGGCCTGCGTATGAAGTGTGCATAGGATGCCCACTTGCCCAGGGCCCACATGGCCCGGCCTTTGGAAGCTTCCAGGAATGCCAGGCTCTAGCCTTCCCGAGCTTCTGTAGCATCCCAAGCAGTCAGCTCTTCACCTTCTCTGGACCTTTCACATCTTTGTTGAAAACATTCTAGCCACACTTTAAAAATAGGTGCCTTTGTAAAACACTAAGCCAACATTCCCCTTCTTAGACAACCAGCCTGTTTCCATTATTACAGTAATCACATATAATATACAAGTTTGCAACTTGGAAGAGCTGGGAATAGGTAAACTTTTGTTTTTGTTTTGTTTTTTTAAGATTTTATTTTTAAGTAATCTCTACACCCAGCATGGGGCTTGAACTTACAACTGTGAGATCAAGAGTTGCATGCTTTCATGACTGAGCCAGCCAGGTGCAGCGCCCTTCCTCCGCCCCTCACCCCCCGCTTTTTTTTTTTTTAAACTCAAGAAAGAAATCTCAATGGGAGGATAAACTTGTGCCTGGCAACTCTTTAACAGAAGAGGGCTGGAAGGCAGCTGGTTTGGGTATGAAGGACCAAAGGTGCAGGCAGAAGAAAAGAATTTCTGACTGGCTGGTACACAATGTACACACTTTACACATCTGGATTAAAGTCTTGGAGGAATAGAGATTTTACAAATACAGAAAAAGCCTCCAAACTCCAAAATGGGCTGAGGAAAGACACAGACCACAACACATGATAAGTGACTGTCCAACCTCACTAATTCACAAAGTCAGCCAGAAGTGCTACCTAGCTCCTGCTAAGCTACAAAAATTGAGGAATGGTGGTGAAGTTGTTGTGAAGCCAACTCACCTATGCTGACAATGGCTAAGGAGGCGAGGCTGGAAATGTGTATCGACAACCATAAGAATCTTCAAATGCCTGTTCCAAACAAAGTGACCCAGAAAACGATGTAGAAGGAAAGCACCCCTGCCCACAGGGACCGTGGGGCCTGTACTGGCGGGTTTGAGCTCTTGCTCTCCTCTAGTGGACAGAGACCAGCAGGGCTGCCACCACAGCATCCACTCCAGGGCTTGACTGTCAGAAGCTGGGCCAGGCAGGCCTGACTGCTTTCGTTCCAGCTCAGATGGACACTCTCCCAGAAGGGCAGGGCCAGGAGCTGGCTTACTTACCATGTAGAAAGCGAGGGATTAAAGCAGTATGCCTTCCCATCAGACAGGTTCATCACTGGGATTCCATGCTGTGTCAGCAAGATCTGTGACACTGTCATGTCACTTCCTGGGGAGACAACACAAGAACGGGTCCTGGGTGCATTCTGAACAGCAGGTGCCTGCATATGCACCTAAGGAGAAATGCAAACCACAGCTCCCACAGTCCCAGCAACAGGTATCTTAACACTGACGTGTAACTAGGCAGTCACTGCTCTAATCTGCGCATGCTGGTCTCACTGTCATCCACAAGCTGTTTGTCACCTCTTAGGGACCCATTCAAATATGCCCCTGGAGAGAACGCATCTCCCTACCATGTAACGACATCCCCTACAACATAACGACATCCCCTACAACACGAAATGCTTCGGGCTGGGCCCAGAGCTTGGTTCTCCATCTAGGCTGAACAGGATGCTTTCATGTTAGGAACCCAAGCTGTCCTGCCCCCACCCCAGGGAACAAGGGGTGGTCTGCTGCTGAGGTTACCTGCCAAGATGGAGTGTAGAGATTCTTCTTTCACCACAACCACCTGTCTGTGAACATCCCTAGGAGGGAGACAGGGAACAGCTTACTCTGCAGCTGGGGTAAAAGCACCAGAATGTGCCTCGGTGATCAGACCCCACTCCATGGTCCCTGGTACACACCCAGCCCTTGCTTCCAGGATGGGGGCTCTGCGCTGGAAAGGGCTTCCACTCCCCATGTGTCACTACGCTACCTCTGCACAAGTCTATGGGAGAGGGCCTAGGCAACAGAGCTGTGGGGCCTGCCACCAACACCATGCCAACTCTGGGAGAAGTGTGGCCATGCTCTGGTAGCCGAGATCCCTTTTCTGGACCCTGGCACATGCAATTAGGCATTGTGTGATCTGTCATGAGCTTTGCTGCTATCAGGATGGCAGCAGGGGCAGGCAGCCTGCGCCACTTCCACTGCACACTCTCCCTCCCTCAACGCAGGGTGGCTATCACAAGCAATGCGTGACTGACTGCTCAGGCCTCCTTAGGCGTTAAGATGCCCAGGCCAGCAGGGCCCAAGGACATGTCTGCCGAGTGGCCCCCTTTCCTGCCTTCCCTATCCCTGAAGTGAGAGGGGACCTGCACAACCCCATCCCATCCTGCTTGGAGCCTGCCCCACCCCGGGCCTGCCTCTCACCAGACAGACAACGTGGCTGCAGCAGTGAGCGCCATGACGTAGGAGCCTGTGCAGTGCAAAGTGGAGATTGGGGACGGCAGGAGGATGGGAGGGAGGAGGCGGCGACCACAGGCGGAGAACACGGACAGCATCCTCTTTTCACAGGCAACACATACCACGTCACTGAAAAGGCACAGAGGGGACAGGCGTCATGATCATCGGGAGCTGTGGCAGAGGCAGCAGCCCTGAAATGCAGAGCCTTCCCTCTGTCTGTGCCTGCCCCGTGCCTGCTACGAGGGCTTGCCCAAGGACCGGGGCAGCAGGGCTGATGCAGCCTAGCCTAAATGAGACCTCTGATTAAAGAGAATGTGTTCTCTTTCCCTTCAGGGGCAGCTTGAGCTTTTCTGAGCTCACACTAATGCTGATCCAGGGGGAGCCCACAGCAACACCCAGCACACAGGCCTATTTGTCCTTTGTGGGCGCCTGGGATCAGGAAGCTCAGTTTGCTCATCTTGGCAGAGAATGAAAAGGACGTACAGAATGATGGTTCCTTCTAGGTGCAACACCATGCACTCACTCAGGGCCCATGGGTCTAGTCAAAGTGATTGTATCTAAGCCAATTATCTTTGTAAAATCCTTTTAAGAGTATCAAATACATGGACCTGACTGAAGGTCCTACGCCTCAACAGGCACCTGAGGAAAATGCTGGTCCTCTTTCCAGATCAAGCACATATAAAAACAGCTCTAGGGGATCATGGCTGAAAGTCCATGGGAAGACACTGGGGGACTAACCACTGAATTAAGGTGTCCTCTCAAAGTGCAGAATATGGACAGGGCTAGGCTGGGGACTCACAGGACAATCAGAAATCCATCCTGACTTCCCCAGATGGGGGTCCAGAGAAACAATGATCCCATGTCAGAGAGCCAGACAGAGCTCAGCCTGGAACCTGAGACTTTAGGAATCTGGCCAAATAAGGGAATCAGAACATCTGGGTGGAAATCCTGCCTTGGTTGACCCTCTAAGACAGTTTTCCCACCTGTAACATGGTGATAATGATGGTGACTTTATTAGGTCTTGTGGGGATTGAGAAGACATGCACACGCTTAGCTTAGGGCAAGGCATGGTACAGGCCTCTGGAAGCTGGCATGTAGGGCAATTCCTCCCGCCTCAGACAGTAACAAGGTCACACAGCATAGCACTTGGTGCTTCCCTGACATTAAAAGCTGGGCTGGGCAAAGACTCTTGCCCTTACCAGCTGCCGGCAGCAGTGAGGATCCGGCTGGTGAGTACCGTCTCCCACTCCTTCCCTTCCCGGTTACACTTCAAACGACTTAGCTTCACACCTCCCACGGCAGTCACTTCATTCTCCACCTCAATGTACATGGAGGGATCGGAGCTCACCTGGGTAGAGGAAAGCAAACACAATGTCTTTTCAGGTGATGGTGGGCCCACTGAGACTTGGGTCATGTGACAGGTGAGATGATCAAAGACCCCAAAGCAGGAGGAAGACAGAGAGGCAGACAGAACTGGTTGGTAAACAGGAGGGTGGCAATGTGTGCAGTAATAGGGTGGGACAAGAAGGCCAGACGTCTGGATGTGTGGCCCCCAGGGCAGGGAGAGGGCTGGGAGCTTGCTCAGCCTCATCTCTCATGCCTAAGGAGCTGATGGACTGGATATCCCCATATGGAAAACCCAGGCAGAACAGCTGAACAGTCTGCAGTTGTGTGGCCACAAAAGCGGGTGAACTGGGGCAGAGGGCTGGATGTGACTGGGAGATAGGCCCCTTCATAGACCCCTGGAAACCAAGAACAGTCCCAAGCAGCACTCAGTGGGAAAGCCCCTGGGCGGGGTGGGGGTGGGGAGGCAGTGGCTAGAGTTTGGAAGGGGGTTTGTGCGCCCTGTCTCCATGCACAACAGCAACAGGAACAAACCACGTGGGTCCCTATCCTTAGGCCCAGAAAGACTTGTGGTGGGAGGGGCTGACATTGGCTCTCTAGTGTCCCATTAGGACCAGCCTGCGTGGGGCAGTGTGTGCCCAGTGGAAAGTGACCTGTGTGCGGGGTCCTAGAAGGTTTCCTGAGGACGTGCACCTGAGCTCAGGAACAACAGGCGTGAACCTGTGGCATGTCCAAGGTCAGGTGCTAGATGGAATGAATGGAAGGCCTCTGGGCATAATGGATTCTTTGTTCTAGAGTTGTGTTTTGAACAAGCACATGGTCATAAGCTCTACTCCAAGAACTCAAATAGCCCTGATGACGACTCTGCTGGGTCCTGGGAAGGGGACAGGGCCAGCAAACTGACTGGGAGATAGGCCATTACCATGCAGTCCAACTGCACCAAGCCTGAGGCTGCCCAGGGCTGAGTGTGGAGCTCAAGGAGGCTTCCAGAAGGGAATACCTGAAACAAGTTTTGAAGGGGCTGGCCATCCAGAAGATGGCAGCAGGACTGTAAGGGCAAAGCACAGAGGAGAGAAATGTGAGGTGGGGGCAGCAAGGGAATCCCTGAGGAAGAGGCTAGTGATCTGGCCTTGATTAACTACAACTTCCCCAGATGTGGGAAGTGATGGAGAGCCACTGAAAAGCAGCCCTAAGTAAGTGACAATTCAGGGTTTACACAGAGGGGGAGCGTGGAGAGAGTGTGCAGAGGTAGGAAGCCTGCTCACCTGGAGAGTGAATGCTCTCTGGGGACCTGGCATGGGCAGTTTCAGTGCAGGTGCTGGTACAGACAAACACACGGCGTCCTTCTCTGCGGTCAGGGCAGCTGGGGACTGCAAGAGCAGAAATGTCTCTGAGCCCCGCCCCAGCACTGTAGGGCAACGTCAGGTAAAGGTGAGTCACCCAGTGGTGAGGCCAGGCCAATTCCCCAGGCATTTCTGCCTACTCTGTGAGGGTAAAAGTGCAGATGAAGGCTATAAAGACCCCCACTTTCCAGATGAGTAGCTGACCCCAGGGAACTGCTCAAGGACTCTGAGTAGGCTGAGGGCAGGTGTGGGGGCCTGCATGTCTCTGCCAACTGTTTCCACACTGATGAGGCACACAGTGGCATGCACGGCCTCTCTTATCCTACTCGGGCATGTGCGCATTCCAGCACTGAGCTCACGAGCTGGGCTGGGGGAGACCGCATGGGCCTGCTGGCCTCACCTGGACAGACAGAGACACAGGCATGAGCCGAGAGTCCTTCCGAGGCCGCCCTTTCTTCTTCTTTTCCACCGTTTCCACCTCAAGCTCCAGTTTTCGCTTGGACAGCGAGGAAGGCTTGGCCACAGGGACTTTTTCGTCGCTGTCACTGCTGCTCTCCAGGAGGTCCCGGGGCCTCAGCTCTTTCACAAGGTTTTGCTCTTTCAACCTGTACAAACGCAGACATCCATGGCCTACTCCATATGACTATTAAGTTTAAAATAATTATAAAATCCATACTCATCACCAAAAGTTAATAAATAAAAATAGTAAAAAAGGACTTCTGGTTTCTGCTCCAACATGCGGAGAGCTTGGAAGTTGTCACTCCCATTCTCAAAGAGGAAAGCTGAAAAACTGAAAACCAACAACTTTTCTTGGATTCATCAGAGAAGTAAGGTCACAAGGCAAACTACCACCCTGGAAACCAGAGATACCAGGTGAAGACAGAAAGCTAGAGCTCACCTGGAGCTGAAGGCCCTGGAGCCCTAACTGGTAGGAAGACTTAAAGTAACTGGTACACTGCTGGAGGCTGAGCGTGGGCTGGCTTGTAAGTTAAAACTATTGGGGGTCCAGTGGCAGGAGGGTATCCACATTTATGTTAGCTTTACCTCCAGGAGCTCTAACAGGCTGTCATGGGTGAAGATCAGGGATGGAAAAATCCCCTGTGTGCTTTGGGCTAGGGGAGGAAAAATGAACCATTTGAAATACACCCAGAGTTCCCTTCTCCTTAACAAAAGCCTGCCTTCAAGGGAAACTACTCTACTAGACCCCATGTGACTCAGCAGCAGGGCAGTTAACCACCTATAGCCTAGCCCACACATGCACGCACACACGCACGGGTGGGCTAAGGGATTCTTCTGAAGGTCATAGCCCAGGGTCACCGGTCCAACAACAACAACAAGATTTAATCATGAGATAATAGAATGCTTCTCCTCCCCAAAAAACTCACCATTTCAACAGGGCTCTGGTACAATAGGACTAGAATAACTAGTCTGAAGCTAGCAGAGGGTGGTTCATGAGTTTTAAGGAAAGAAGCCAGCTCCATAACTAAAAGTGCAAGGTGAAACTTCAAGTGCTAATGTAGAAGCTGCAGGAAGTTATTGAGAAGATCTAGCTAATTAGTGAAGGTGGCTACAGTAAACGACAGATTTTCAATATACATCAAACAGCCTCGTATTGAAAGTAGAAGCTATCTAGGACTTTCACAGCTGGAGAGGAGAAGTCAATGTCTGGCTTCAAAGGACAGGCTGACTCTCTTGTTAGGGGCCAATGCAGCTGGTGACTTGAAGTGGAAGCCAATGCTCATTTACCATTCCAAAAATCCTAGGGCCTTAAGAATTATGCTAAATCTACTCTGCCTTACCCTATATAAGCGGAACAACAAAGCCTAGATGAAACCGTATCTGCTTACAGCATGGTTTACTAAATATTTTAAGCTCACTGTTGAGACCTACTGCTCAGAAAAAGATTCCTTTAAAAATATTACTGTTCATTGCCAATACACCTGGTCACCCAAGACCTCTGATAGAGATGGCTTTCGGACATCTGTTTCATCAGGCAGATGAAATTAATGTTGTTTTCATGACTGCTAACACAACATCTGTTCTGCAGGCCATGATGGATCAAGAGTAGTTTTGATTTTCAAGTCTTATTATTGAAGAAATACATTTTGTAAGGCTATAGCTGCCATACATAGTGACTCCTGTGATGGATCTGGACAAAGTACATGGAAAACCTTCTGAAAATGATTCATCATCTAGATGCCACTAAGAACACTCAAGATTCATAGGAAGGGGTCAAAATAGCAACATGAACAGGAATTTGGAAGAAGTAAATTCCAACCCTCATGGATGACTTTCAGGGGTTCAAGACTTCAGTGGAGGAAGTTACTGCAGATGTGGTGCAAACAGCAAGAGACCTAGAATTAGAAGTGAAGCCTGAAGATGTGACTGAATTGCTGCAATCTCATGATAAAACCTGAATGGATGAGAAGTTGCTTCTCATGGAGGAGCAGAGAAAGTGGTTTCTTGAGATGGAATCTACTCCTGGAGAAGATGCTGTAAAGACTGTTGAAATGACAACAAAGGATTTATTTATTTTTTTTTAAAAAGATTTTATTTAGGGGCGCCTGGGTGGCTCAGTCGGTTGGGCAACTGCCTTCGGCTCGGGTCATGATCCTGGAGTCCTGGGATAGAGTCCCGCATCGGGCTCCCTGCTCAATGGGGAGTCTGCTTCTCCCTCTGACCCTCCCCCCTCTCATGCTCTCTCTATCTCATTCTCTCTCTCAAATAAATAAATAAAATCTTTAAAAAAATAAAAAATATTTTATTTATTTATTTGAGAGACGGAGGGAGACAGAGATAGAGAGAGCATGAGAGGGGGAGGGTCAGAGGGAGAAGCAGACTCCCCACTGAACAGGGAGCCCGATGCGGGACTCGATCCTGGGACTCCAGAATCACGACCTGAGCTGAAGGCAGTTGCTTAACCGACTGAGCCACCCAGGTGCCCTGACAACAAAGGATTTAGAATACCACATAAACTTAGCTGATTAAACACTGTCAGGCTTTGAGAGGACTGACTTCCAATTCTGAAAGAAGTTCTGCTGTGTATAAATGCTGTCAAATGGCACTGCTATAGAGAAATTGTTCATAAAAGGAAGAGTCAACTGATGTGGCAAACTTCATTGTCTTAAAGTTGCCACAGCCACCTCAACCTTCAGCAAGCACCACCCTGAACAGTTAGGAGCCATTAGCATTGAGGCAAGACCCTCCACCAGCAAAAAGATTATGACTTGCTGAAAGCCCAGATGATGGTTAGCATTTTTTAGCAATTAAGTATTTTTTCCATTAAGGTATGTACATTGTTTTCTTAGATATAACGCTATTATTGCACACTTAAGAGACTACAGTCTACAACTTTTACATGTACTAGGAAACCAAAAATTCATTTGACTTGCTTTATTGCAATATTTGATTTATTGTGGTGGTCTGGAACCAAACTTGTAATATCTCTAGCATATGCCTGTATGCCACTCTAACTCTAATTAAAAGAAAACTGGAGTAGCTATATTAATTTCAGAAAAAGTGGACACCAGAGTAAGGAAAAGTATTAAGGATAAAGAGGAACATTACATAATGATAAAAGGGCCAATTTTCCTTTATGTATACGTATGTATACATACATAGCAATCCTTAATGTATACATGCCTAACAACAGAGCATCAAAATACATGTGGCAAACTGATAGAACCACAAGGAGAACTGGACAACTCCACAATTGTAAGTGGAGATTTCAATTTACCTCTATCAGTAACTGACAGATCCAGCAGACAGAAAATCAATAAGGAATTAATCAAATCAACAATACTATCATTCATTTGAATTTAGTTGATATTTATAAGATACTTCATGTAACAGTAGCAGAATATACATTCTTCTCAAGATCACATGGAATATTCACTAAGATAGACCATATTCTGGGTCATAAAACATTAACAAATTTAAAAGGATAATGGGGCGCCTGGGTGGTTCAGTCGTTAAATGTCTGCCTTTGGCTCAGGTCATGATCCCAGGGTACTGGGATCAAGCCCCTCATCGGGCTCCCTATTCAGCGGGAGGCCTGCTTCTCCCTCCTGACTCCCCCTGCTTGTGTTCCCTCTTTTGCTGTGTCTCTCTGTCAAATAAATAAATAAAATCTTAAAACAACAACAACACAAATTTAAAAGGATAAAAAACATACAAAGTATGCTTTAAGCCCACAACAGAATTAAACTAGACAATAACAGAAAGATACCTGGAAAACCCCTAAGCGGAGGGTTAAACCACACACTTCTAAACAATATATGGTCAAAGAAAAAGTCTCAAGAGAAATGTAAAAATATTTAAATGAAAACAAAAATGTAATTTATCAAAATTTGTGGGATGCAGTGAAAACAGTGCTTAGAAGGAAATTTATAGCAGAAAATATTTTTATTTTTATTATTTTTTAAAGATTTATTTATTTATTTTTGGGGGGAGGGGCAGAGGGAGAGAGTCTTAAGCAGACTCCACATTGAGCGTGGAGCCCAACACAGGGCTTGATCTCAGGATCTTGAGATCACCACCTGAGCCAAAACCAAGAGTAAGACACTTAACCGATTGCCACCCAGACAACTCCTTTATTTTTTCTTAAATATTTATTTGAGAGAGAGAGAGCAAGAGTGAGAGTGGGGGGAAGGGCAGAGGGAACCTTCAAGCAGACTCCCTGATGATCATGGATCCTGATGTGGGGCTCAATTTCCCAACCCTGAGATCATGACCTGAGCCAAAATCAAGAGTCGGTTGCTTACCCAACTGAGCCATCCAGGAGCCCTGAGAATACATATTTTAGAAAAGAAGAAAGACCTGCAATAAAAACCTTAAGCTTTACCTTTAGGAACTAGAAAAAGATCAGCAAGCAGAAGCAAATAAATAACAAATAGCAATATAGTAATATAATAATAAGGCAATAATAAGTAAAGTAATATAAAGCAAGGAGAAGAAAAGAAATAATAAAAATTAGAGCAGAAATCCATGAAATTCAAAACAGGAAAACAACAGAGAAAAATCAATGAAATAAAAAGCTGGTTCTTTGAAAAGAGCAATAAAATTAATAAACTTGTAGCCAGGCTAATCAAGAAAAAAAGAGAGGACACAAAATCATTAATGTCAGAAATGCAAAAGGGGCTTTCACTATTGCTCCCATGGACAATAAAAGGAACATAGAGGAATATTATGAATAATTCTAAACCCACAGATTGGATAACTTTGGTGAAATGGACCAGTTTCTTGAAAAAAAACAAAAACAATCAACTAAAACTCACACAAGGAAAAATAACTAATCTGAACAGGCCTATTAAAGAAAATGAATCAACAATTAATAACCTTCCAAGAAAAAAAATACCAGGCCCAGACAGTTTTACTGGTGAATTCTACCAAATATTTAAGGAAGAAATTATACCAATTTTCTACAATATATTCTAGAAAAGAGAAGCAGAGGAAATAACTCCTAACACCCATGAGGCAAGCATTACCCAAATATAAAAACGAGATACTGACATTACAAGAAAAAAAACTATAGGCCAGTATCCCTCATGAACAGAGATGCAAAAATCTTCAACAAAATATTGGCAAATTGAATCCAACAATGTAT